GAGCACTAGTGTTCCTGTCCTCCTCAACAAACCATTATTCGTATGGTTTTCGCTGTAACGGACGTGCTCTGCCTTCCCTTCTCCTGACATCAGTAGTTACATTTTTCTCTATCCTCTCATCGCCATTTCGATTTAAAGATCTCAAGCATACACTTCCTGATAAGTTGATGATAGGATTGATCACATTTCTTTTCCTCTCTGTGACCATTTTGATCGTAGAATCATTCTTATGATATACAACTAGGAAAGTTATAATATCCACTGATTCACACATATTCCATGAAATATCCCACATATAATTATGCTACAATAAAGTCTTCACAATTTCCTCATCAATCTGTACGTGATGCTGATCTTGTACGTATCCATTAGCACCAAGTATTTGGTTTCTGTCTGTAAACAGCTACCACCACGCATGATTATAAGTATGATGTTCTGAGGAGTGTGATAGGTTATTTGTGGTCCCGTTATTTACTTGCATGTATAAGGGATTGCATTATTGCTAGCTGCAGGACAGTCTATGTATGTCAGGGGAGTATAGGAAAGTAGACAAGATGATTGTGTTGTTTGCCCTAATGCATCATTAAGGCAACTTGGCTGCTTCTACTTTACCCATCACATGTCAACAACTTCACAATTTCAAGTGACAATAAAGCTGTAAAATAACTATTTTAATTTTTAATTTTTAAAATACAATTTATATAACTATTTTAATTTTTAATTTTTAAAATATAATTTATATTATATAGACTTATATTATTTTATATTTAATTTTTTTATTAAATAAATAAAAATAATAAAATTTAAAATTATGACTGTTTAATTAAATAAATAAAAATAGTAAAATTTAAACAGTCATTAAAATTTTAATACTGTATTAAAAAATCAATATAAATTTTTTAATTATTTTAAAAAATCAATTCACTCTGAAAACTTAAATTTTTATATAAGATTTCAAAATATAATTTATATTATTTTTTAATAAAAATGATAAATTCTTGAAACATGGTGTAAATTTAATCACTGAGTTCTTGTTACTCGTCCCTCTTTTTTCTTATTGACGAGTGACAATACATTTTGCTTAAGAGTTGGTCAGATCAATACACAGAATGATGAATCTGAACTTGGCTTGCTACATTTTGCTTGAGACATAGTTCAATATACAAAATGATGAATCTAAACTTGGCTAGTTATTCTAAACCCTAAATATATGTAACTTTGGTGCATTGAAGAATCATTTCCAAGTGAATAATTTGCTTACGTGCTCAGTTCAAATATTTATCAGCACTACAAGTTAATAACAGTTCAAGCATTAACTCCATGAAATGGATCTGCAAAAACCTAGTACTGAATTCAACCTCCAATGTCGAAATCTCTTGAAGTGAATCAAGATAAATAACCTTTTGGCTATTCTGATAGAGCTTTGGATAGTACTGTTTGTTGTAGCATTACAGCATACTTATTAACATAAGACTACTCTCTTACACAGCAGGACTGAACCTTCCGAGTAACCATCCACCGAGAATGCTGACTAACAACTCTAACATCTAAAAGATTTCACAACATTGTCCATCAATGGCATTTACAGCATAAAAACAGATTGGTGCAAACCTCATGGAAAACTTCCAGTATCATTCCATGATACTCTTCAGAGTTCATTGACATGTAATAATTCAACAGACTGCGGAGATCTTTTGGCTCTTGCAGCCGGTTTGCCATGATCATCTCAACCATGGACTCTCTAAAATCTTCTCTTGGATCGTAAGAGCTTTTCTCCATAGCTACCATTACTATAAACTTGGTTCCATCACTTCTTAGTCTCCTTCTTCTCTCTCTTTGTCTTGCCTCTTGCCTTTCTCTTATCATCTGGTCTAGTCTCTCTTGTACCATCGCATGTGCCAGGCTTGAGATCGATGCAAAACGATCAGGATTCGAACTCTCAGCTTCCTCAGAAGAAGAGACACTTAGTCTGCAACTGCAACAAAAGGCCTTGCATCCTCTTTGCTGAGGTTTTTGCTTCTTGTCTACCCTGGATGCTTTCATCCTGAACCAGGGAGCTATGAAGGAAGAGTTGCACAAAAACAAAATGATTTATGCACATTTGGCAAGTGGGTCAGATCGGGCATGATCATGTCTTGAATGTAGAAAGATGTACACATAACTTATGAGATTAGGAGGTTGGTTGTCTCAGAAAGAAAAGCAAGCACATTTGGTCTGTTAATTGAGCTAGTGATTATGATGTAAACTAGACCTTTAACAATTCCCTTGACATGGCAGTGTTAGGTGGCATGCTTTTGAAAGTATGAGGTTCCAATAAGCCTATGGGAATAAATTAAGATACTGTATTAAGAAAGGAAGCACTGCCTAGACAGAATTCTTGGTTGGTGTCACGTGCCTGGTGCTAATCAGTTCGGGTGTACTTGCTGCATTTTCAAGGATTGAACCGGAGGCTGTTGATGGCATGGTGGGGAGGACTAATCATGAATTTGAAGGTGATGTTAAAGTGATTATCCATTAAATTATGGGGGCATAGACATTCCTTTTGACCCACTTGCTCCCATCTTTAAAGAAGCCATCCTTGCTAGTTAAGGTAGAAAGCACCCTCTCTCTCGAGTCTCAATAAAGGCTTTCAATTATTAACTGTTGGCCTAGCTTTCCTCTTCTAAAAGTTTGCAAGAACAGCTCGTTAGGAAGTTGTAGCTCCAGTCCTCTTCAGGCTACCTAATTGTGTACATTCGTGTTTGCAGCAAGCTGTGCCCTAGGATACTGATAATGAAATAGGAAAGTGACGATTTGGAATGGCTGACGACGTAAATGATATGCAAGATTTATTCATGTAGCATCTAGTTGTCAGGCTATGGTAATCAAAGAGCTGCGATCCAGTTCTAGATCTGTTCTGACGATTTTTGAGGCAAAAACAGTGAACTACATCGCCACATTCTGATGATGGTGGTCCATATGGCGATAATTAACATAATAATTATCGAGGAAGGTTGTGGGTGGATGAGAGACAAAGCATGTTTTATTTCTTGAGTTCTGCTTCATAATATAGTCAGGATTCTCCTCTGTGACCACTTCTAGATGATGAGATGAATTGAATTGACGAAGGGTTGATGCAATCATGGAAGAAATCTTACATGGATTCTCAAAGCTAGACAGGGGAATCGATCTCTTTAATGGATTCCTCCTTGATAACAAAGATCAAATGGAAATGTTTAGCATGTGATAATCATTGTGGTACGCCATGAATAACCAATCTTGTTCTGAATTAATTAATGGATATGCTTTATCTCTTTAAAGCAACTTATTGTCATCTAAATGCTACACACCACATGCTGGCGCGATGATTAGCATCCAAGTTAAAGCCTATGGCCATTGTCATTAAAGAAGCAGTACAGACTAATCAAATGACAACTGTTCCCTGAACTTTCAGAACATGTAGGGCAGATAAAGGGAGGAACCAGCGACTCATAACTCATTGCAATGTTCACAAGAATGGCTACTTTTCGTTAGGTGAAGAAGGCGAATCGATTAGCCTCTAAGCAACCTATCATTGACCTCTGATCACTCTGTAGTCTGTAGTCTGTATTCCAAGTACCTGAGCAGGATTTGGGCAGAAACTTTCATAGCTAGAGCATTTGCATCTTCACTGCATAACACCAGCAAGGTAGCTTCAGTGAATGCAATGCGGCGGAGAGGAGATGAAACTGGCCTTTCCTGGAATCGTTTGTTTCATTTTGCGGGACTTCCATAGCCTAAAGCATGCTACCAACTGTCCGTTCAGCAAAGGGATAGTTTTATGTCAACAAAATTGACAGCATTATTTCTTAGCTAATATCGAAGGTTCTTGAGGTTTGGTTAGTGTTTTTGGATGCAAGAGACAGGTATAGAAATGGCATGAATTTTATGTTTTTTGGTAGGGACGGAGACAGAGACAAGTTTAGAATCTGTGTTTTCGAAACAGGCGATCCAATCGTTTCAACATAGCAAGCAAACAATTACTTAGTAGTATTTGCTTCCACTTGAGTGAAAATAGAAAAACAACACTAAGCACATTAATGCGCAGTTACCTGTGCTTATTTATCACTTTGTGTAGTAGCTTTCACTTTAATTTGTTTTTAAAAATGTGTTTATCTTTAAGAAAAATTAAAATATTAAATTGGATTTTTTTAATTTTTTTTTTAATTTTAATATATTAACATGAAAAAAAACTAGAAAAATTTATTTTGATATTTTTTTCAAATAATTTTTTAAAAAAATATTATACACTATGATATGATACCAAATATAATAATACATGTATCCATGTAAAACACGGTACAGGATACCATCAACTCTTCGCTCAAAAAAAAAAAAAACTATAATTAATAACTTTTTTTAATTTATTTTCATCATATTACGTAATTTGCTTGGGATCATTATCCAATGAGTATCCTGGAATATCCTATAGCGTTTACAAAGCACGCGCCGCCCACCAACAACAACAACACAGTGGTTAGGTACCCACAGCAAACTCAACAAAAGAATCCAAACCGTCCATTTGTACCCAATCAATTCTTACAACACGCCACGTCTAACACTCTAATCATCCATATCTTCATAATGCTCTCAAAACCGTGGGCCGGGCCGCCAATTATCGATGTCTCTTCCCTGGGAGGAAGAGACATCTCGCAATCCCCCCTATGGTCCCTCGATTAAAACTATTTGTTCAAGTCAGTTACTCTTCTTTAATTCCTATCAAATTAAGGCTTGTATTTTCCCTTCTTAGTTCTTCCACAGTTCCACCCCCACTCCCACCTGTATCCTCCCCCGTATGCTTGTATTTTCCCTTCTTAGTTCTTCCACCCTCACTCCCACCTGTATCCTCCCACGTACCTGTGGATGAAAGAAAGTCAACTAGTTAATTGGGCTTCGATTGACTACATGTCAACACTTTAGGGACTATTTTGGGCGGAAATCCCATAGGGACCCCAGAACCAAAACAAAGCGCTCTCACTCTCTCTCTCTTACGGTATATATAAATAAAAACTAAAGTGAGAGTTCAGTCAGGTGTAACTGCCAAACATGGCTCCTGCTTTTGTAATTACCGGCGACTCCGCTCGGGCCAGCGGTCGCTTTGCTTCTGTTTACAGCGAAGTCCAATCCTGCCGTATCAATCACGCGCTCCCTCTACCTTCTGTCCTAAAACACCCTTTCAAAATCGTCGACGGCACTCGTAGTTCCGCCGCCGGCAATCCTGGTTATTTTCGTCTCTCCTCACTTCCCTACTTTCACCGATTGATCAGTGCTGTGCTGATTAAACCGTTAGTTAATTAATTAAATCTCTGAAGTTTCGATTTTTTCTGGCAGATGAGATAGCGAAGCTGTTTCCCAATCTCTTTGGGCAACCATCAGCAAAGTTGGTGCCAAACGATGTGGACACGTTGAGTTCAGATCAGAAGTTGAAGATCGCTGTGGTTTTGTCCGGTGGACAAGCACCTGGTGGTCATAATGTTATTTCTGGCATCTTCGGTAAGTCATCTTATTGAACGAAATGCAGCTGTTATGGTTTGGTATCGTGGGGTTTGTGATTGGTTGGTGGTGGTGGTGGTTTAGATTATTTGCAGGATCGGGCGAAAGGAAGTGTATTGTATGGGTTTAAGGGAGGTCCAGCTGGGATCATGAAGTGCAAATATGTTGAATTGAATGCCGACTATATCTATCCTTACAGAAACCAGGTAAGTTTTTCCTCTTTTCAAGTTTTTTATGTGAATGTGGGATGGTTTCGAATTGTAAGATGGATCAATGTTTTTGTAAGTATATATTTATTGGAAACTGTTAATTTTTCAGTTATTTGGGATGATTTTGACTTAATAATGCACAGAGTTTAGTGATTGAGATGCTTCGAGAGTGTGTATTGGTAATTGCGGTATGAGGTGTAGCTAGTTTAGACGTTGGATTATTAACTGGTTCAGTGCAATTTGAATGTCCTGTACTTGTTTTGACTCCATTCTAATATAGTTATTGAATGCCCATCCATTTTTTTACGGGTGTACATGCAGTGGAAGTTTGTATCTGATTTTATTCTTGTATCCTTTTTTTAGGGTGGTTTTGATATGATCTGCAGTGGAAGAGACAAAATTGAAACGCCTGAGCAGGTGACTATTTCCTTACTTGTTCCTAGTGGAGACTTTTTTCTGTAGGTTTTTTTAAGACTTGCTGAGGATTAATGGGTGTGAACTGCAGTTCAAACAAGCTGAAGAAACAGTAAAGAAACTTGACTTGGATGGGCTTCTTGTTATTGGTGGGGATGACTCAAACACAAATGCTTGCCTCCTTGCTGAAGACTTCTGGTATGCCTTGATGGAAGTTTGTTGTTGGAATATTTTTTGAATTGGGATGTTAATACTGTGGAATGAGAAGAGCTTTTTTCAACTACCAGGAGCCCTTTTGGTATAAATATTGTTTCCGTTATTGTTCAATCAGGGTTAAAGGTTTGAAAACTCGGGTGATGGGATGCCCAAAAACCATTGATGGTGATTTGAAATCCAAGGAGGTTCCTACCAGTTTTGGATTTGATACTGCTTGCAAGGTAATTATAAGTATTCTTTTCTATTTTAATCAAAATGTTAGTATATCAGATTTTCCCTATATTACATGTTAAAGAATGTAATTGTTGTTGGAATTACTTGATTGTACTCCTTCATGAAGATCTGCTTAAAAAATATGTGATTGGATGGAAACTCCATGCTTGAAGCACAAAAAATTATCTCTGTATATAAAACCTTACAGATTATTGATGATTGAGCTACACTTGTTTATCTTTTCTTGAAAATTTGTGACTTTTAACCTTATTTGTTTCATTTTATTGACTCTCCTAAAAATGTCAATATGTCGTATAGAATTTTATTATACAAATGTGAATTTCCCAATGCACGACACTTTATATATAGATTGTAGAATCTCAATTTTGTTATTCATGGTCTTCACCTGTATCTATACACATGTGCGATATACATTTATGTATGTGCCTCTGTGTGTGTGTGCAGGGCTAGTCTTTGCACTTGCCTTTAACACTTGCTTGGCCTACCATGCCTGAGTTGTTCCATTTCATGGATGTTTATTTTGCGAACTCAACAGTGAAGTCCCTGCTGAATCAATATTATTGATTGTATGCAATTTGTATTTCTGATTAACTATTTTTGGAATTTTCAATCTTATCCTTCCGTTTTCCCTATATTACATGTTAAAGAATGTAGTTGTTGTTGGAATTACTTGATTGTACTCTTTCATGAAGATCTGCTTAAAAAATATGTGTGATTGGATGGAAACTCCATGCTTGACGCACAAAAAATTATCTCTGTATATAAAACCTTACAGATTATTGACAATTGAGCTACACTTGTTTATCTTTTCTTGAAAATTTGTTATTTTTAACCTTATTTGTTTCATTTTATTGACTCTCCTAAAAATGTCAATATGTCGTATAGAATTTTATTATACAAATGTGAATTTCCCAATGCACGACACTTTATATATAGATTGTAGAATCTCAATTTTGTTATTCATGGTCTTCACCTGTATCTATACACATGTGCGATATACATTTATGTATGTGCCTCTGTGTGTGTGTGCAGGGCTAGTCTTTGCACTTGCCTTTAACACTTGCTTGGCCTACCATGCCTGAGTTGTTCCATTTCATGGATGTTTATTTTGCGAACTCAACAGTGAAGTCCCTGCTGAATCAATATTATTGATTGTATGCAATTTGTATTTCTGATTAACTATTTTTGGAATTTTCAATCTTATCCTTCCTGTGCCATGCTGCAAGTCTTTTCAGTTTGATTCTAATAGTGTGTACAGTCAATTTATTTTGTCTGTGTTCTCAATAATGCTGTCATGGGATGCAGTCACAACCAATCCTAATGCCGTTGGTAGTTAGATATCCTTTTTGTCGCTAACTTAATGCTATAGAACATTGATAATATTCTTGGTGCATGCAGATATATTCAGAAATGATTGGAAATGTCATGATTGATGCTCGATCAACTGGAAAATATTATCATTGTAAGTTAATACATAATTTTTCTCCAAATAATCTGTTTTCTCTGTTAATGAATTTGAAGTGAAGATGATATTAAGGTTAGCTAATTTTGTTTGATTTTCCTTCCATGTAGTATTGTGCAGATGGCAATTTAAACTGTGCTTTCATGTTCTTTCACCAAGTACCTGTGCTTGAACTGGCTCTAACTTCTGTATTTTCCATGTTGTCACTTTGTTGTATTTATTCCTGAAATCTTTAGTTTCTCATGCAACCACACAGCTTAAACTACCTGTTTCAAATTGAGTTCAATATGCTATAATGAATTTGCTTTCTCCATACTATCTCGAATGTCACAGGCATATTATACATATTAACAATTATTAAAAGTAATGATTGCTCTTAATTTGAGTTTGCTGCAGTTGTCCGGCTTATGGGACGGGCAGCTTCACACATTACATTGGAGTGTGCCTTGCAAACTCATCCGAACATCACCATCATTGGAGAAGAGGTACTTCTGTTAATTTGTTTCTTTAGTTTCAATTATTTTATTGGTTGAGTTTGCTTACTGGTAATTTATCAGTGTATCACGTGTTTTGCATCTCTGTGAAAAAACCTCTGTTCCATAGTTGGTGACTGCTTTGGACTCTGACAAGTTTCAAGGTCCTTGTATCCTTCTTTTGTTGCATATAATTTCGGTCTCCATTTTATGTGAGCTGACTTGTCCAAAATGATCCTTTGACTTAACCTCATTAGTAATTAATGCTCGAGGTGATATGGGAAAGTTGAGGTTATTTTGAATTTTGATTGCAAAGCTTAGTAATTGGTTGGCCCATGCAATGGGCTGTCAAATGAGAGTGCTTACTTTGATAGATATGAATTTTCAAAAGTTCTCAGGAAAAATCATATTGGTTGTATCTGCAGTTCAGTTATTTTCATTTGAAGAAAAGCTTCCCATATACATTCTCTTACCCTGTTTTATCTTGTTGCAGGTTGCTGCAAAGCAGCTGACACTGAAAAATGTTACAGATTACATAGTTGATATAATCTGTAAACGTTCTGATCTTGGATATAACTATGGCGTGATTCTTGTTCCTGAAGGTTTAATTGATTTCATTCCTGAGGTAGGTTACTTTTTTTTTAACTTTAGTGGCACTGCTCCTATTTTTTTTTAAAAATCTTAATGTAATGTTCATTTTTCAATCTACAGCTATCTATTGAAGTGGCAATGTTTATTGGGCGTTTCTTTTCAGGTTCAGTACCTTATAGCGGAACTAAATGAAATTTTGGCACATGATGTGGTAGATGAAGACGGGCTGTGGAAAAAGAAACTTACAAATCAATCCTTGCAGCTTTTTGAATTTTTGCCACCAGCAATTCAAGAACAATTGATGCTTGAAAGAGATCCACATGGAAATGTCCAGGTATTTATTATATGTCCCATTTTATGTCAGTTTTCAACATTTTGAATTAAGCTGGCATCATTATTCATTCATATCTTTGCTTTTACCTTAAGGTTGCCAAAATTGAGACAGAGAAAATGCTTATTCAAATGGTTGAGACTGAGTTGGAGAAGAGGAAGCAGCTAGGTCAATACAATTGCATTTTCAAAGGACAGTCCCACTTCTTTGGGTAATTATCTCTATTAACTACAAATCTAATCTCCATTTTGAGTCAGTATTATCTAGGTCTGATATTACGAAGGACAGTCCCACTTCTTCGGGTAATTATCTCTATTAACTATAAATCTAATCTCCATTTTGAGTCAGTATTTTCTAGGTCTGATTTACATGATCTGTTTGGAAAAATCATTTGACATTGTCCCTATCCTGGAATGTAATGAAAAAAATAGTGCAAGATTAATTATAGAATTCCTGATATTTGGATTGTACTTAGGTATGAAGGAAGATGTGGTTTGCCAACAAACTTTGATGCTACATATTGCTATGCTTTGGGTTATGGTGCTGGAGCTCTCCTTCATAGTGGAAAAACTGGGCTGATATCGTCGGTGTGTGATTCTACCTTTGTAACATTGTTTATTTGCTTCTTTCTTCTTCCTTCTCCTTCTAGTTTTATTTTGTCTTTTCTGAGTGCTATAAGACTACTAAAAAGTTGTGCTGTTTTTGCAACGGAAAAGTTCTGGCACTGCTGAATTAATATTTTAATTTAATATTGTTATGTCTCCAGGTTGGGAATTTGGGCGCTCCTGTTGCAGAATGGACTGTTGGTGGGACTGCGTTGACTTCTTTGATGGACGTGGAGAGGAGACATGGTATTCTCCTGTTCTTCAGCATTTTTGGATAGTCGTGTTTGTGTTGACTATGGCACATTCATTTCCTGGTTGGAATATACAAATCAAGTCACGGGTTAAAGTATTCTGCATGAGGACCTTAGGTTATGGAGATCTAATATAAGCTTCAAAAAGTTCTCAGGACTTTTAGTTGACCAATCTAGGGACATTTTGGAGTTCCCTGTCTTTTTCATGATAAAAAGGTTATCAAATTTATATACATTTATTCTTTTGCAGGTAAATTCAAGCCTGTGATCAAGAAGGCAATGGTGGAACTCGAAGGTATAAATTCATTTCTATTCACTCTCCTCTCCTTAATCGTTAAATACATAGTGCCATCTCACTTCTGATAGAAACTATGACCTCTGTATCATTCATTATAAATGGCTTCTGCACTGATCACTAACATGGATTCAAACTAGAAACTTGTTCAGCAAATTTTACATGCTATCAATGAAATTTCAGGTGGTCCTTTCAAAAAATTTGAATCCCTGAAGAATGAGTGGGCAATCAATAATCGCTACATTAGTCCTGGTGAGTCATAAATCTATCAAACAGTATCCTTTATTTGGCCATCTTGATAGGAGTTTTAATACTCTTTAATCCTTGTAAGCACTTTATATCATCGTCCTTTTTGATTGATTATCTGTTTTGATTGAATCTCAGGTCCCATCCAATTCATAGGCCCAGGATCAGATGCCATTAGTCACACTTTACTACTGGAATTGGGAGCTCATGCTTAGGCATATGGATTGGTGCAAACTTATGTTCTTCAAGACCTGAAAAGTTTCCTGGCCATGCATGAGATCCTCTTTTCGTTTTCCTGGTTTTTGATGCTGTCATCAGAGTTAAGAGTTGTGGATTTTGTGTGTTTTTATTGGATGATGGTCCTTGGAAAAGGCGGCTCTACATACATCAACTGCACTTGTAAAATATGAAGCTTGTGATGTAGTCTTTTCTCACTAAAATTATAGTTCTAAAGAAATGTTTCTTGGAAAAAGAAATATGCTTCCAATCCCGTCCTGTTCCATTGAAGAAACACATTCATTTAAGATCCAGTACTTGAACTCGTCAGGTCGAAAGAAGCAGCAGAAGAATCAAACTTCTTAGACCAGCAGGAGAAGATTTGATCTTGAGTACAGCAAGTTAATTATAGTCGTTGGACTAGTGTCTATGATAAATGTAGTAAGCATCTGCTCCGCTCTTGATAGAAAAGGAAAGATCATTGCAGAGCTCTCCTCTATCCCTCTGGCCGTGTGTGATTCTGGCTGCTGCTCTCACTTTGAAACAGGCCAAAAAGGATTTTATCCTCTTCTGTTTTTTTATTCTTTTTTAATTCTAAACAAAAAACAAAGCATCCCAAAAAGGATTTGGAACTCTTCTCTAACAAACAGATCATCCATTTTCTTTGCCTTTTTCTCGTTCTGTTTCTATGCTTTCGCGTCCAGAATTTCCATGAATCACATGCTCTGTTTATTTGGCTTTTTTGCACCCTCTTCACACGTTATTGGAAAATGTCTAACCTTTACGGAGCTTGGCATGCTTCTCCATCCACCTTTTCCCTTTTTATTTATTTTTTTATAGAGATGAACTTTTTCCCTTTTGTACGGCTTCATTTTTGTATTCTGGTAATCTTTCAGGGTGGTAATATTTATTATATTTTGCAATTGATCTTCGCCATCTTGACTAGCAATTAATAATAATAATCTTGGATATTCCCCACGTTATTATCAACAACAAATCTTGAGATAGTTCATAAAAAAATAAGTAAGGACATACATTTTTCAAACAGTTCACCTGCTTAAAACCCTATCGAGAATGGATTTAGTCTTGGTGTCTGAACATCGGTAGATGAACTGTGATGAAAGGAAGCACTAGCTGGACTGATAAGGAATTCATTATTATACACATATGATGCAAGTGATCTGATTTATGGACCTGGTTCAATACAGGAGAGTTGTATATCTTCTATACCTGATCTAACCACCAAGCACCATGGCTCATCCATTACCTTCTCCCATGCAATAATGGTTCACAACAAGGTGCAAGAACCGCTCATTGCATGTGAAACCAAAGAGAATAGTTGCAAATTTGGTGTCCTTTACAACATCTTGAAGTGGGTAAGCATCGCATCACATCACAGCCACCCAAAAAGGAAGTAAGTGTGTGGTCGCATCACATCACAGCCACCCAAAAAGGAGTAAGTGTGTGGGCGCGCGCGCGCGCGTGTATTGTTCATGGGATGGTGATGAAAAAACAAGATGGAACTTGGAAGGAAGAGGAAGGTGGTATAATATAATACAAGTTAAAGAACTCCTTTTCACAGTGACAAGGAACCAAAAGCAATCGAAAGTCAAGAGTGTGATCATCGAGGGAGGGGAAGAGAAGAAATGGAGTGAAACCCAAGGTCTAGTGCTACGAGCCACATGGTGTGTGACTCCAAACCAAACATTTAGTCATCACCATTACCTATGTCCCCATAATCATGCTCGTATGTACCTTTTGTTCTAGCTTCACACTTTCATCAATGGCTATGGCTATGTTACTTTTTCCAACGCTTGAGGCATAAAGGCTAAAGCCATGGCACAGGTTCATGGGACCACCCAAATTCTAGCAGTGACTGTAACTTCATGCTATGGCTCGAGGATGTTATTAATGGTGGTATCATTTTATCCTCACCAACACCACCTCCTCAGCTGCCTCTGTTATTATTCTTCCAACCTCCATGAATTAATTCTGATTGTAACAGCCATAATTCCTCCATTTTGTAACCATTAAACACCCAAAACATCACTGTTGCTGCTATTCCTTTAAATGGTAGCAGTACTTCTGTGACTGTGGCTATTTCTTTTCCTTTTTATCCGATTCATTGAAAGGGCTTTTACGTTGGAGGCCAAATTGTTAAACACTTCCTAGCTTTAGTAAAAAAGTAAATGCCCTTTCAGCAGAAAAACCTTTGATTTTTCACCTTAAATAAGACGATTTAAAAATAAAAAAAAAAACCCTTTTATTAGGGTTTTATTGAAAAATTGATGAAAAAAACTCTAAAAAATCCTTCTAAGTCCTCTCTTTTACTCTTATTATGGGAAAAATAGCAAAATATAAAAAGAAATACTGAAATCTCTTTTTAATTAAACTTGATCATCGACAACAACTACCCAGATCAATTTTTTTCTATGAGTTGTATAGAAATAGAAAGGAATTGAGAGGATTTTCATGGGATTTTCTGTAAATTCATTTTATTTAGAAGTAACTTAAAAAAACTAGGAATGTTTTGCCCGTGTGATTAGATCTTTAATTTTATTTTATTTTTCATCTAGAGAGATAACATGTTATTTATTTTAAATATTTATAAATAAAACAAATAATTTATAGTGTGCTGAGGTAAATAATACATCGTTTGTAGTTAATTATATTCTAGAAATTGTGATGTCTAAAAAATTAAGATTTCAAGTTTTTTTATCAAAAAAACTTGTTTTTTAACTTTTTTTTATAGACCCAAAACATTTTAGAAACTATAATAAACTTGTTAATAGCTTAAAAAACCTAAAAACTATTTTAAAAATTAAAATCAACTCAAAATAAAAAATATGACCGAGCTTATATATATTTTTTATAAATTTTAAAAGTAAAAAAAATACATAACAAACTTTCAAGTTCAAGATTGAAATGTATTTTTTTCAAAACTCCTACCATAATCCATGTTTAACATTTTTTTCATTCCAATCCTTCTTATTTCAATTTCACCATTGGCTAAGAAATCAACAATAATAATCCTTCCATTAGGAATTAGGATGAAGTTGCACAAAATAAAACCTCAAGGGTCAAAATTAATTCTTGAAAATACAAAATGTCGACATCCACATTAAATTGTGAAAAGATACACAGTGTTGACTCCACAGTGAAATGCCCATGCCTTTTAGATTACAAGTAAGAATACAACTATTAAATATAATTTCAACTGACATGTAAGATAGCTCGAGTATATTTTAGAGTATTAAATTAATTATAAAATCTTTTAAGAAAAGATCGTTCATATTTCATGCTTGCAAGAATTAATGAGGATGCGGAGATGGGAATTCATGAAGTACAAGAACATCCGAGAACTGATGAAAGGTCTGCGTATAATCAGACAAAGAGATCCTCTTGCACAGTAACTTTGTAGTTTCTAGGGCATCATAATTCAAAGATCGAGTGTTGTGTGTCCCTGTAAAATCAAGGATCATGGTGTCTCTGACTACCTTAAGGTTTTTCAATATCATCATAATTTCTTTTTCTAAACATTCCTTCCTTTGCATTATTGTGTTGCTTTAAATTGAATAGATATAGTTTATAATCTTTAAGAATCAATTCTCGATTCTCTTAATCACCATCATAATTTAATTAATTAATCCTGCATACAAACAACATCTAATTTTAGATGGATATAAAAATTATTAAAAAAATATTTAGATTGTACCTAGCTATAATATATATATCCAATATACAATAAGAAATCATATATGTACCTAGCTATAATATATATATCCAATATGCAATAAGAAATCATATATATATAGACACCGTATAATATCCCCTTTTCCACCGGCTTTTTAAGGTTCGTTCTTGTCAACTTTCTCATCTAAAATCTAATTCTTACTGGACAAGCATGAGTGCAGGGATTCTATACAAGATATGAAAGTCTAAAACTTGACCAAAAAAAAAAACAGGAATGCTAATTAAGTGTGTGTTCCGTTATGCATCACAGAGTATTTCTCACAAGTATTTTTTAATTCAAAATATATTAAATTAAATCTTTTTTTAATGTAAATACATCGAAATCATTTTAAAGTACCTAAATAACAAGAATTTAATGTTTTTTTAATGAAAAAAAATTTTAAAAAGCATTTTAACCACAAAATTAAACACTAAGTAAATTTTCTATTCTAATCCAATCATAAATATGAAGTAAAAAATATTTTATGATGAATGTATTTGTCACTAAACAAAACTAAATGGAAAAAGAAATTAGTCTTGATACATTAAATCCGACCGTGTATATATATATATATATATATATATAAACAACAAAAACGTTTTCTCCTTTTTGTAATCTCTCCTGATCTGAAGCTAGTTTAAACTTGTTGATGATTGAACAGGTTGTCAAGAAATTGCCTACCAAATAATGGCCACAGCCCACATGATGCTTGCACTCTACCTTTATGTAGGTTTTAGCAATGTACTTTTGGAATGCTACTGATCATGCACTAGCTGCAGATCCTACTCAATCAAAAATTCAATAATGCAAATTAACACCAGGAGCCATTAACTGGAAAAGTCATGGGTGATCTTGAATAGGATATTGAAGGATCCTTTTCTCGTTTGTTCATCACTCGGAATACCCTTTATCGCTATCCCAACATTTATAAGTACATTCTTGATCTTAAGCATCCCTTTGACATTTTCTGTAGGGTATCTTCCTCGGTGCTTCCGGTGTTGCCTTTCTGTAATGTTTTTAATTTTATGTGCTATTTATCTATCTAGACCATGACAGAGAGATCGATCTGGCTCACCCACCGAACGATGATCTGAATTAATGGATGTCGACTACTTCCTTGCATGGAGTGTAAGGAGTTCAATATCACGAGAGAGGAAAGCATACAGGCCGGCCGGTGATCAATGCTAGAAACAATTGATTGGTAGTAACTAAAACGTGAAAGGGAATTTCAAGTGAGCAGACGATCATTGATTAGGACAACAAGGCATTACATTTACAGGGCTAAAACAACAGCTACCTACAAAAAGCCATGAGGCAGTTGCTATCAAGATTTGAAGAATGAGAAAAGGGCCGGGTATGTTATGGGAGAGTGGAGGGACCCAAAAGGGTTAATGAAATAGTGTTTGTTCTTGCATGCACATGGCTCATCATTTAGCCTACAAACAAACGCCATTAACAATATAAAACTCATCTCTGCCACGCATAATTCTCTTCTCTTATCATCCTCTCTTGCTAGCTAGATTCCCAAGTGTCCGACGTCC